GTTCTATACGCCATCAACAGTGGAGGGAGTAAGACATCTCAGTCATCTTGGCGACTATTACAAAACTTTGCCAATTCCAGTCCCAGTGTACAATTGTACTTTTCTACCATCCCATCAGACTGTGGGTGAAGTGGCACTGTTCTGGTCTTTCTTATGCCAAACAACTTGCAGCAATCATGGAACACAGCTGATTCGAAGTTAGGGCCTTGATCTGAATGCAGTTTGTATGACATACAAACCTGAAGAAGAAATCACTAATAGCTGAAGCTACAGTTGTAGCTTCCTGATTTGGTATTGCATATGCCTCAGGCCACTTGGTGAAATAATCCATCACCACACAAATTTACTTGTTTCTTGCACGTGTTTGGGGCAAAGGACCAGCAATGTCAATGGCTACTCTTTCCATCAGTGCGCCAACTTGATATAAATTCATTGAAGCACGTCCCTTATGCTTGGGTCCCCCTTTAGCACAACATGTACTGCAGGTCCTGCACCATTCTTCCACATCTTGCCTCATACCTATCCAGGAAAATCTGTGTCGTAGGTGACTCAATATCTTCTTAACTCCGAGATGTCCTCTTGTTAAACTATCATAGGATTGACGCAGCACAACTTCCCGTAACTTTCTCGGTATAACTGTTTGCCAGGCCGTCACTTTCCATCTCCAAACAAGAATACCATCTTCAAGTTTAAACTGGTCCCATTGTGCCTAATAGTTCTTTGTCACAGGGCTTAAGCTAGACACCTTCTCTCCAAACAGGGTGCAAAACACTTGCATTGAGAAAATGCAATTTCACCATCATCAACTCCTTCAGTCACTTTGAGTTCAGCTTGATGACACCTGGTTAGATCAACCTCTCTTTTGCAGTCATATATGCAGGGTCTTTGGCTCAGTCCATTGGCATTTCCATGAGATTTTCCATTTCTATATTCAATATCATAATTATACTGGTCTATCTTTCTGATCCAACGTGGCAGTTGTCCCTCTAATTTCTTTAATGATCTTAACAAGTGTAATGCAGCATGGTCTGTCCTGATGTTAAACCTAGCCCCATAGAGGTAAGGATGGAAATGTGTCAGACCTTTCACTATAGCAAGGAGTTCCCTCCATGTTACACAGTAATTCCTTTCTGGTCGACTCAGGACCCTACTGAAGTAGATCACCACTCCTCCAATTCCGATATTACTAGCATCACAATCCAGTAGGTATGGCAGAGAAGTATTTGGAAGCTTTAAAAGTGGAGCTGAGGCCAATTTTTCTTTCAATGTCTTGAAAGCATGCTGGCAAAAAAAAAACTGTCCATTCAAACTTCTGGCCTTTGGTGGTCAAATCATTTAGTAGAGCAGCTATAGTTGCAAAGTCCTTCACAAACTTCCAGTAATAGGTACAGAGTCCCAAGAAACTTCTTAACTCTCCCACATTGTCTGGTTTTGGCCAATCACGCACTCATTTCTCCTTGTCAGCATCAGTTTGCACATTATGCTCACTTACAATGTGACCCAAGTAAAGCAACTCTTTCTGGAACAAGTGGCATTTCTCAAACGTCATTTTATCGAAGTTAACTACACACTTCCTCTGTAGTAAGTAGTTCAACCCTAATATGCATTGGTCTTGAATGTCAGCCAAGTATACTTTGTGTCTGTCCTTCATGCACATGAGCTCAATAGTTACCCACAACCTTGCATAATGTTCTGTCACACCACAGACCTTCTGTACAGCTTCTGGTAATCCTTTGTGATCCAGCACCCTGATGCTCACAAGGGTTTGCTTTCTACAGTTCCAACAACCTTTCTGGGTAGCAGCCTTTCTTGCCGTGGCATCTTCCCTGTGTTGAAGTTGCCAGCATTGAACTTTCTTGTGCCCAGGTTTGTTACAGTGCCAGTAAAGTCCCTGAAACCTCTCTGAAAGCTGACCTTTTCTTGCCTTGAATCCTGATGACTGTACCAACCTTGGTACCTCTGTGCCGGACTT